AAATACATTTAGATACAACATAGAGTATAAATAAATAAGTATAGAGTATACACTTTATACAGCTTCTATTGTCTAGGCCTAATCAAAACAAGTGACCAATACCAGTGGCGGATCAAGGAATACGAATTAGAGGGGTGGGGGGAGGCCAAGGAGGAGCGACTTTCATGGAGGGTCTAGACACCTCAGCCCCATGGTTAGGGCTGCGGTAAGAACATTTAGATGACCAGAATTGGCCCTCCCGTCACTAACGTCTTAAATTTTAGTATAACTTTCCCGCCACCCCACCCCCATCCCCTTGAATCCGCCACTGTAATACACAACTTTAGGTGGGAACTGCTAATGTGGAACTAAATCTAGGCCTATCAACAATTTCGTTAAAGCTCCATTCCCGGCAAAATTTCACTAAAAAAGATTCTTTTTAGAAAAAATGCATATGCATTACTCTAATTATTTTAAACAATTGAAAAATATTGGCATAAATTTCAGTTTTACGCAAAAGAATAAAAAAAGAGAAATACAGACTATTTCTCATAGGAGATTACCATTTTCGACGAATTCTTCGTTACTAGGCAAATTCAGATGTTGGATCCGCTGGAATGCTCTCGCATAATAATAATGTGTGCCCTCTCTATTGGTTTTTGTACTTTGCTCGCACACAGCGGTCGATCGAGTAGGCCTGAGATATGTTTGTTTAATTGTCAAAATCTCGGTCAGAATCATTTTTTTTAACAGATTTTCAATAATTCCTATGAAATATTATATTTCACAAGTGTCAATACTAGCAACGGGAAATATCATGTCGTCCGTTTTTATGTGTGATAACAGAACGTAAATCGAGGTAAGGCTAGACCTAGCCTAGCAGTGTTGGATAGAGTAAAGTTTCTGGCGCCTACTACTATATTTCTTCGCAGACCTATCGCAAAATCAAACATAAAAAATTCATCCGCATTTATTTTTTGTGTGTGGAACACACACACACACACACACACACAAAAATCAAAATCAAATTTCAGTATTATTTTACATTTTATTCATGTTTAGGAATGTTTAAATTCAGTTAAAATAGCAATCTCATATTATATTTATAAATCGTTTTAACATATAAAAAAAATCAGATTTTTCTTAACAACTGAAATTTTTCCGCGAATGGGGCTACAACGAATCACCTATGAGACAGATGAATATTAACCAACATATAATGAGCAAGAATAAATTTAAAGATGTACTCTCTGTCATGAGCTAAAAAAAAAAATCAATTCCATAATTGAATCGCCTAATGTGTCTATTTGATTTGGTTATTAATTACTTTACAAATATAATTTTTAATAAGCAAAAATTCTATCTCGTTAACGGACAGGCTGAAAAGGCAAGCATCTAATTGGTTCAACGAAAGAGATAATTTTCTACTACAAGCCTACTACTATTTTTTGGCATAAACCCTTAAAATCTGTTGGTAGCCATATTAACCATATTAAGAACCTTTTGTAGTAGAATGTCTGCAAATTTAGCGAAAAATGTTTTCTCTCTCTTTTGAGTTGGAAGTTAATACTTCTTTGATCGTTTTACACCAGCAATTCAGAATTTTATTTTTGTTTTGAGGGGTTTTTATATTTTGGCCGACAGTACATCCAAATTTATAAAACATCAAAAATTAGAGTAAAATATATAACAGTACGGTACATTATGTCATAATACGTTTATCTTAATTTGTTCTAATATTAAATACAGTATACTTTTTTCCCGCTCACATGATGGACCGTGTCTAAAAGTAAAACTTAACAACTGAACAACCGGGACCTCGGCAACGATGTCCAAAGACGTAAGTTGGTACAATTCTCTATTAAGAGAGATGCGCTTTAAGGGACAAGAAAAAACAAAATACCATTACACAGTAACATAATGTTTTTATTTATATATTTATTTCCATACAGCATGTACAAGTCAGGCCATTTCAGAGG